GGCACGCTCTGTTGTAGAGGAGCGGCCGATATAACAAGGATTGAACGGCCGATCGCAAAAACTTCTAGACGATCGTGTACACCGCGTCTCGGCCGCGGAGAGGGATGTTGGAGCGGGTAAGGAGGGACAACGGGCAACAATGAAGGTCTCTCTACGAAGCTAGGACGCGTACGCGAGAGCAGCAGAAAGAAAGGCCCTTAACGATTCCACGTATCTTGGAGCTGGCGCAGCTGCGTATTCGAACGACGTGATCGGCAATAAGCGAGCGAGCGAGCGAGCTCGCGCAAGAAGAAACGGTCGCGCATCCGCCTCGACCGACAGACGGGGTATCGGCCGACCTGGAACAGTCTCTCACGGCCAGCAGGCCAATTAACTGTTATTATCAGCCGGTTCTTGCGTGTAAACAGAGGCTGGCCTATGTGTTAGGCGCATAGAGGAACCGCTACTGTCTCTCCTATCGGCGAGAGGATTGATTTGGTCGAGAGAGGACACCTTTGAACGATGACGGTAGTGGGATTGTAACGATCGAAAGGGTGAATTTATCAGAATTACCCTAATTTTTGAGAATATCGATGATCTCTCATACACTTTTGTTTGATGATGTTTGTTTGGGGTCTAGGTTCTTCTAGAATGAAGAAATTATGTGCGAGGATGATAATGATGGATTTGAGGATCGTGGAAATGTTTGAAGATGTTTGACGTTAAGTGAGTAGAAATTCGATAATTTGGAAATCTGTGAATGGTTATGATAATGATTAGAGAACAAAGTGATAGTGGTGGATTCGAAAATCAATCACTTTTGATGTTGCATCAAGGTTCTTAAAATAGAAATTTGATAATTAGATCTAAAATATATATAATAAAAAAAAAAACAGTACTCGGATTGAACAACTCTTGTATCCCCTTTCTTGAAGTGAATTATCTAACTTGTGTCGAAGACAGTGAAACCGTCTAATACAACTTTTTACAAGAGTATCGTTTTAAGAAAGAGGTTTTAGTTTGTTAGTTTCAGTAACAAACACATGGGGATACAATGATACCGATGGATGTTTTTTTACCCACCATCTGTTCAAGCTAGTTGTCCATGCTCATGTTGCGGATCATTGGTCTCTAACCGTTTCTTTTTATTCGATCAGCTGACCGCATTAGTGTCCACTGGAAGCAATTTATATGCGCTTTACGAGGACTACTTTTTCTCCTCTCTAGAACAATGTGATCATCGAAATAGAAGAATATCAAACTCGATCCAACCTTTTCTCGAAACTTTGTCTTAGAGAAAACCGTCACTTCTCACAATTTGAAAATCAAGTTGCGAATCGAGCTGACTTCCTCTTCCTCTTCTTCACGATTTTTAATAATTCAAAATTCTTCTTCTATTCTCGATCGTGCAATACGATTGTTTCAAACAGGAATCGAAGAATCCAATTTAATTCTAAACATTATCACCACTCGATCACCACGTGCATTCGTTCGCGGAAAATAAACTTATTCCAGATCAAATTGCAAAGAGTGTAGCAAAAGTAAGAAAAGAAGGCTCGGAAAAGAATCAAAGCACTCACATTTCCTTCGTTCCAAATCTCCGCTCAATTACGAAACAAGCTTACGTAACGACGTCTATTCCAAACCAAATTACTCGTAAAAATTAACCAAGTAACTGAAAAAAAAAGAAGAAGAAAAAAAAGGAAAGGAGGAAGAATCGGGAGACACAAGGCCAATCACCGTCTAATAACTCTCTCAGAAACGAACGCGCCTCTCCAACTGCTATCGCGATGGATTGCGTAATCGTCCACCTTGACAGCGATATTAGATTGAATCTATGGTACAAGGCCGTCGCCCTGATCGTGTACTCACGTTATTTCGTAAATATCGCCGAGATAACATCCTCCAGGAGGCCGTGAAACGTGTATATTCCTACGTAACGTAACGAACCCTGGCTGCGTGCCCCTTTTCTCCTCCTCCTCCTCCTCCTCCCCCTCGATTCGACCGAACATCGGTATCGTTGGCGCGTGTAAAACGTCGTAAAAACTAATAGATTCGGTACCAGGACTCTGGCGAATCAACGGTTGATCGACGGCCTACCGATAAATTTCCCTCGAGTGGCCGGCTTATTAGGTTTCGAATGAAGTCGGTACACAGCTTTCACCCGGCCAGTATTTAACGTTACGACCATGAGAGGAGATTTCAGCTGATTAATATACCTACCCGAGTAATAGTTTATTATTCGAGGGATCGAGTAATTGTTAATCGTAGCGTCAAAGATTATTACTCGAAGTGGAACAATAAGTTTATTACTGTGGTGGTTGTGAATAAATTGGTCGAAATGATTTCGTTCGAAATTTTAACCTTTAGCGATGTCTTTTTTTTTAATCGACGATATAACTTATTTTTAACGATGCACAGTGTTTTCGAAGAGGTTATCGCAGAAAAATAGTAGAAAATAGTTTTTTCATCAGTTAAATAGTTTTTATGAAATTAGAAAAAAGAACGCAATATTTTTAATTCCAAATTCGTTTTTGGATTATACGAAGATCGGAAAAAAAAAAAAAACGATACTGAATTCGAAATTCAAAAATATCGTGATACCATAAAGATACGGAGGAGAACCATTCTCATCGTAAATTATCCATCTTATGAAAAAGATTCGCATTTAAATATTTGAGTTAATATACGATATATTAAAAAAAGTGTATGCGTATCTAAAATACATTCAAACATGTATATGTATATATATATGTACTTGAAATAATACGAATTCCAAGATACCATTAATCAACGCGCTGTAAAATTGCATTCGTGGAAAAAAAAGGAAGAAAAAAAATAACTTATCGCGTTGTCGATACTCGAGGCGATGACGAGTGAAACTCGAATATTAATCGGATGACTCACGATGTTGTTAATTATGTTAATGGACGGTGGATGGTAAATGACATTGCGGGTCTGAAAGAACGAATGCAAGAAGATCGCGATTGGTCCTGGGTCAATTTAACCCGATTCAGCTTGGAAAGCGTCGTAAAACCGTCGACACGTGGGAAATTCCGAACGACGTCGTTAACGCGATGGCGCACACTTGTTTAAAAGGCGGCGGCAACTTTCTGCGCCTCTGAGTCCCTCCTTCATTACGTCTTTCTCTGCCTACCCCTTTTTAATAGGACGTTTTAATGGTGGAATTAACCGGCAAGAAACGCCATTTTACATGTCAAAGGATAGATATTTAATCAGGGATAATCAGCGATGAAAGAAACGACCAACTCGAGGAGTGGAAAATGTGACGAAGAAAGAGAATGTTATGTTTTCGATTATGGCTTGCTTTTTTTCTTTTTGTACAGTGAAAACGTCGAAGCGTGAATTTCAAGATATGAACGAATAATATATTACGATAAATATATATCCTAAATAAATAAAAATTAAGACGATCTTGATTTGTTTAATAATAATTCTAGATCAAGAGATTCTAGCTTCGTATCTCGTATTCAAAATAATTTTTAAATAAAAATCCTATACAACTTTCCAAAAAGCCATTCTTATCAAACCCTCAAACCTTCCTTGAACAAAATCCTCGAAGCGAACCCGATCGATCATAACCATTTGACAATCTCCAAAGCGCAGCAAGCGATCTTGGATTTTCCCACTTTCGAATCCGCGATCCATCAATGCGATTAAAAGTAAGAAATGAAAGTATATATATATATATATTATATACACATATGTTTATACGTTCCCTGAATTTTTGTGACGAATAAGGGATCACTTGCGCGATGCGATGCTAGAAAGTCGAGTGACACTTCGATCTTTGCCCAGTTTCGTGCAAAGAGAGAGAGAGAGAGAGAGAGAGAAATATATTGGACGGACACCTAGGGGATTAATTATTCGAGTCGACTTCGGGCCGACTGGTCTCTGCGGACCGATTAGCCGGGATTTTTGTCGCGCGGCGATTAGCATTCGAAAATGTTACGCCGTCGTTACGACACGCGGTCCGTGCTGCCGCAACATATAAATTTCCGTGACGCGAATCGGCCAACCGTGGATCGATAAAACGGCAATTTTCTGGACGCGGCAACGCTCCTTGAGAGACGATGATCGAGAAGCTCTGGCCGAGATTCGAGCGAGATAGGTTTAATGAACGACTTTAGGGGTCGTTAATGGGGCGTTGCAATTTGGTTAAAATGTTAAAACCAGAGAGATATTTTGTAATTTATATCCTCGATAAGGTGAATGATCGTGTAACTATTGCTATTTATGCAAAGCTTTCGTGGATGTTTCCTTCTTCGGTGGTAACCTTCTCTATTGAACGAACCGTACCCTCGTCAACCGATCGTCTTGAAAGAATCGTGGCAGTGTTGAATCTGAATAGGGGTTGTCTTTTCTATTCTGGAGAGTGTCCTTGAACTCCATCAGTGTCCTTTGATCTCTTCGCGGAACGGAGAATTGTTATTATAAATTTTTGCCCAAGGAAAGTTGAATGTCGAGAGAACGAAGAAAATGGTGATTATTTAAAAGTTGGAACGAACGATGGATACAAGAGCGTTTTTGCAGATGGAGAGAAAGTGTTTGGCAGAAAAGTCTGTCGATAAATCTTCGCGAAAACTTCCTTACAATGTGTCTGGAACTTTTCTAATCGCTTATGGTACCCGCATTCGCAGACGGTCAAGCGTTAATAAAAAGACAAGTCTAGCTGAGAAGAAAAAAAATGAGCAAGTACCATAATTGAAACTCGTCGTCTTGTCCAGTTTCTTTTGAATATTCCAATTACGAACGATAGTAGTTGTAGTAGCAATAATAGTTCGTCACGTACGTTAGCGGTTGAGGCTCACAAAAACCGATATTGATATTTAATAATACATTATCCTACGTTAGTGTATCTAGTGTTCGAAGCCAATGATCAAACAAATTCTTCCACGTTTTCTTTGCTTTCTCAAACACCTCACACACTTTCCATTTCGAAATCACCTCCAATCCCACCATCAAACACACTCACCCCCATTTATTCTTCTTTGCCCTAGGTGCAGGAGGGGCCAGTGTCCCCGGCATCCTCCTCGCTGAGCAACCAGAATCAAAACGAGAGCGAGCAGCAGGTGTTACTGGCGACGATGCAGCCTGTGAACGTTCTAGACCTGCACGAGCCAGCCACAGTTCACTCGCTCCATCCCAAGTACCATCATCACCACCACCGTCATCACCACCATCACCACCATCACCACCATCAACAGCAACAGCACATTCAGCCGGATCCGGACGACGTGCAACAAAGAGGCGACGATCCAGACGGTAGAGTGACGCCTGGCGCCGACCCAGCCACAGCCAACACGGCGCTGGGCGTCGGTGAGCACAAGATGATCGACCTGATCTACAACGACGGCCAGAAGACCGTCATGTACACCCACGACAAGGAGATCATCTACGAAAACGAGGCGGATCGCGTCCAAGTGGTCGAGTATCCACCCCCGCCGCCCTCGCCGCCATCCCCGTCGCCACCCTCCGCGGTCACCAGAGCTGGACTACTGCCGCCCGCCTGCGTCACGCCCAGATCCGGCTCCGCGACAGCGTTGCACCTTCATCATTACCCCCAACTGCAGTTGCAACACGAGGACGACCTTCCACCAGGTGTCCGCCACGCGGTGAACGCCACTGTGCCGAATTGTGGCGCGGCCACGACCACCACTACCGTGTTGGTGCTCTCGGAATTGGTCGCCGCCGATCCAGCCGCTGGTGCCGCTGCTGCTCAACAACTCACCCTCACCGCTGCCGCTGCCGCCGCGTCCCTTCGTGCTGGGTAAGTTTTTCATTATTCTCAGAGAGTGGAGGTGTTCGATTCCCTCGTTTTATTACGATGTATCCAAGATGGAACAGTGTACAGTGTCGTATCGTTCGACGATGCGAGATTGGAATCCGTGGCGGGAGACCCCGGGCTCGGCCCGGGGTCTACACACCCTTCGCCAAAGCGTTCTATTATAATATCTCGATGTTACTCCACTTCTTACTTCTTGCTTTTGCGCTTATCGCTCGAAATTCGTCTTATCTTTTCGTTACAAAAATATTTTCATATTATAGACGGACGATCGATTCGTCAATTTATGAAATTAGAATTCGAACGATGTTTTGGAGGGTCAATTTCGAGAAAAACGTTCGAGGGGAAACGCAAGCGTTAAGAGTCGTTGACGAGCGAGGAAAAATGAAATTCCACGGCATGGAAACGAGGGAGGGGAATCGCGAGCGATCGTTTCGAGGCGGCTAAGTACGAGAAACGTATCAATGTGTCGCGCCTTAATAATAAAATAGGCGTGGAAAGTGTGTCTGCACGGGCACAGTAGCCTGTTGTTCGCGGCCACGGAAAAATCGAACAGCCCTCCTGCGCGCGCGTGCACACGAGAAAGCGCGTGCATGTTGAAACGCCGCGCGCTATCGGCCTCGTGTATCAGCGTCGACAATTAACAATTATTGCGCACACCTACCCGCGAGCATGTCCGCGGATAAGTCACGTTGCTGCCTAGAATTTATTATTAGGACGCCGTGTTCTATACGCATATACAGCATCACGCAGACACGGTGTGCCCTGCAAGGACGTTCGCTGATCGATAGTTCTGCCGTTCGATTTGCCAGAGTTATTATTTTAATCCTCTTTTGTGCTCCGTCCAGATTGTTGTTGTATTTCTTTCTTTCTTTTTTCTTTTTTTTTCATTTTGGAAAATTTATGATTTATTCACAGGCGTTTGATCGATTAGGTTCGAACGAGTTTCGTTTATTTCGTAATGCATTTTTTAGATTCTGCGTAAATTCCATTTAAAATTGGGATCTGTCTCAGATTTACATTTTCAAATCTAACTTTGCAAAGTTCGCTTCGAATTTAAATTTTGTTTAAACGATATCCATTCGAAAAATCTAGATTTTGCATTCTATTAATCGATTGACGATTCGACGAGGTGATAAATAAATATCATGATAAATTGATTCTCGTTTCAAGATTCATCGATAATTCTTTCGATATCGACAAAAGTACATTTGTTGTTCTCGGTTTATAAATTCTTGACGAAAAAAAAAAAACTGCTCAACATATTCATGAAAATCGCCCACGGATTTCTTCCCCCCGTACCTCGATACGTTACGGCGCACGTGTGAGATCGAAGTGTATAATAATCGACGCGTTACACGTGTGCGCGAAATATTCTCAAAACGCAATTAAGATCTCGATCGGTTAATTTGTAACGTTTCTCTGCTCGTATCTCCATATATCCTCCATGAAATCGCATTGAGCTGGAGCGAACAATGTTGTATCTCAGTATATTTAGAAATGACATTCTTCCGTACCGTGTCGGAATATATACTGCACGATTTGTGCGACCAATCGTGACACGATAAATAACTTATATAAAAAAAGAAAAAAAAAGAAGAAGAAAAATTAGATAAAACGAAAGAAGAAAACGAAATGCAAATATCGTAACGATATTGCGATAGAATTGCAATACCGAGTCTTCCTATTTAATTCTGTTAGATTTAAGAGATAATAGAATTTTTCAGAATGATATTCATTGTTCCTTACAAAAAGAAAAATTACATATCAAAAGTCATAGTTAATAAAAAAAAAAAAAAAGAAAAAAATACAGGTAATTTAAAATGCACGATCTTTAATCAAATAACTAAATTTTTTTACGAAGAAAAAACGTTCTATGACTTTTTTAAATAGAAGCTATATAGAAAATATATTTAGAAAATATATATTTAGAAAAAAAAAAGAAGAAGAAAAAAAAAAGAAAAGGAAAGAGACAAGAATCGAACAAATTCACGATGCACACATCTTTAGAAACAGCTTGTACGCATAAGCACACGCACATACATCACGAAGTATCGTGAACCAATAACCATTAAACGCGCACACACCTTGCTCTTTTGCAATAAATAAAAATCAACTGCAATTAATCGGCTGTAAGATATGCACGTGGAGACCTTGGGGGCCTTCGAAAACAACCGTGTCTCTTTCTCTCCCCACTTATTATCCCTCTCTCTCGTCTTTCCATCTCTCTCCCTCTCCCTCTGCCTTTCTGTCCCTCTTTTTTACCATTTACACGTATATTTTCACTCCGCCGATTATTATAAATAGAAATATTCCTTTCTTTCGTGCCACCATTCTTTTTACAACGAGGTTCCTTGTTGCGTGCGTGGACAAAAATTGGAAAGAAACATCCGCTCTTCCTTCGCGATGCTTCCTTGGAGGAG